CATCACCCCATCATCACATCATCATGCTGATATGTTGTTCCAAACCAATGAAGTTTTAAAGTTGCTCCAAACCAATGTGGGTTTAAAGAATATAGTAATTAATTCATAAAACAATTTCTAAACCAAACTATAATAACAAAAAAAAAAAACAAAAAACAAAAAACAAAAAACCTAAAAAATATGTCAACGGCTCACAATCATTTTAGATGAAGTTGACATCATACTAAATTTTTATTCTATACGATATAACTAATTTCGTGATATCTTTTCATAATTCATAATACAATAATATTTGAGAAGTTTTAATTTGAGAGTTCTGATACAACTCTAATGATTTGGAGAGTATCTATGTGAAAATAGGACTCACACTCATCTTTCTATCTCTCTCTACTCTGTCTCTCTTTCATCTTATTAGAGTTCTAGTTAGAACTCTCAAATTGGAACTATATATCATTACTCAAAATTTAATATAAGACATTATATTGGTGACAATGACTATAAATGGAAATGTTATGCACCACGATTTTTTTTTTCCTTTTTTTTTTTTTTTTTTTTTTGTAAAATCATTTTGAAGCCTTTTGCCCTTTGAGCTTTTTTTGGCTGTCCAACCAGTCAGGCCTGGCCGCCCTGTGGGTAGGCAACCTTGCCCCCAGATTTTGAGCAAAAATAGTGCCCCAATTTAGTTCAGCTCTTAACTCTCGTTTGATAATAGATTATTTTAATAATTTTTAAATTTTTTAGTTAAAATATGTGGTAAAAAAATTAATATATTTGAAATAATTTTTTAATTTTTTTATGAAAACATGTACAAAAAAAATAGAGAAAAAAATATAATCTTTGACTTTTTGGTATAAGTTTTAAGCTTTTTGATTTTTAGACTAAGGCCAAGTTTGGCTATCCTAAATAAGTACACACTTTTTATCTTTTTATCTTTTTTCTATCACAACATCTCTCTACTTTTCTGCACATCTTTTTATAAAAAGACAAAAAGTACACTTATTTAGGTCATTCCAAATAACCCCTAAAAGTGTTACACGCCAAACGAGACCATTTGGTATTAAGGGAAAAATAGGGCCCCAACTTATATAAGCACTTAGGCCATTTTTGTTTACCGGCTTGGGTGGCTGGACTGGATTGATATGGCTGTGGATCCCATCCATAGCTTGTTTGGTGTTGATTTGGGAGAGGGGATTGATAGTGTGGAGGGCTCAGTACTCCCGATTAGCTTGGGTGAATTTTGGATAGGATTAGAAAAATAGTGGGCGAATTGAGTCTATTTTGTATAAAAAATTCAGTTTTTATTTTTTTTAAACCAGTGTACTTGTTTGTTTTAATATTTGTTTTAGTTTCTTTTAATATATAAATTATTTATTTATTTATTTTATATAAAAATAAGACAACAATCGCATCACTAACAATCTCCACACTATCATCAAAATAAATACACTTTTATTTAATCCCTTCACTAACAAATCTCTACATTAATAATCTTTTCACTAACTATTTTTTCACTAATAATTTTATCCAATCTAATTTACCAAACAAACGTGCCCTTATAGTATTAGGAAGAAAAATGAAAGGCCCAACATAACTAATGCAGCCCAAAATGATTTTACATTAATTAAAGTGCTCAAAAATATTTAGGGGTCAACTTAAAATTTTATAAACTTTTGAGTCTAAAAAGTGTAAAAATAAATTTCTTATATCAAATTCTTTCTTTACTACACAATATAGCCATGTGTGGATTGAAATCTCGTTGATTATATAATCATGCTTTTTAAAAAGTAAAGTTTTGAATTTAAAAAAAAAAAGAGAGTATAAAACTTAAATCAAGATTAGATTGTCTTTTTTTAATTTATAATTTTAGTAATTATATATAAATAAATTTTGTTGAGTGTGTTTGATTTCAATTTTTTGAATTCAATTTTTTAAAAATTTAATTTTTTTGTTTTTCATTTTTTTTTTAATTTTTAGTGAATAATTTTAAAATTTTGAGTAATTTTTTTTTTATACTTTTTTAGATGCCCCTTACTTAGATATATTTAAAAAGTAAAATATTTGTAAAAAAATCAATAAATATATAAAAATATGAAAATGTATTGAATTTTTATATTCTTGGTATTTAGTGAATTTTTTAAAGATTTTTTCACAAATATTATACTTTTTAAGGATATTTATGTTAGGTGTATCTAAAAATTTTAAAAATTACTTAAAATATTAAAAAAATTTAGTACAAGCAAAAAAAATATGAAAAACAAAAAATTTCAATTTTCTGAAAAGTGAATTTTGACAAATAAAACCAAACAAGCTATTGTAGAAGATAAGTAATAAAATACTATAGATAATTAACTTTATCCATATAAAGAAAATTCAATATATGGATTGACGCTCACTTTACAAAGACAAAATAAAAATTTAAAAGTTTTTAAAAATAAAATTTTAACTTGATAAAATCTTTTTCTAATTTATAATATATTTTATTGGGGGTATTACCTGCCAGTGGGGACAAAAGATGTGAATCACAAATTAGGGAGAAATCTTTAAAAATTACAAAGACATGAAAAATTAATAATCATTTATCATTTTACCCTTTACTCTCAAATCCCTCTCCTTCTCTCTCTCTCTCTCTCTCTCTCTCTCTCTCTTCAGAGCACACATCACATCCCCATCTCACCTTTTAAAAAACAAAATAAATTTTATTTTATTCTATTTTAATAAAATACAAAAAAAATTAATATATAAATTTGATTTTTATAAAAAAAAAAAAAAAAACGAAAAAACCACCAAAACGACGTCGTTTTGGGGGGCTGCTGGGAACGGCCGCCGAAAAGGGCGGCCGAGGATCCGGATTCCCCCCCCTTAGGGACTTGCCTAGAGCGCTCAATTGATAATCCCAACTTCTGATTGATCATCCCAGTTGGGCATTGCTTGGATTTTCATTGGAGATTGCGCCCATCAACCCCGTCCTCACCGTAGGAATGATTTAGGTCAAGTTTGGCAACTAAAAAATAATTTATCTTTTTATCTTTTTTTTATCACATTCATATTTTTATTTTTCTGTACATTTTTTCACACTCATTTAGATCATCCCAAATAACCCCTTAATATTGATATTTTAATAAGGCATTAACAACATAGCAAAAAGAAAAAAAAAGGAAAAAAAAAAAAATCAAAATCAAAACATCACATCACAATGAATGTGATTCACTATTACCTCATTAGAACTAATTTTAGAACTTAAGAATTAGAGCTCCAAAATATTTGTCTCTTTACAGCGCTATCTGTTTGATTGGATAAATGATGGGGCTGGTTTCCCTCCAATTCTTAATCAAATTAGATGATATTGTTGAGTCTGAAGGGATTCATTATGAATTCCGTTTCGATAATTTGAACAAGTCAATATGTAGAACTTGTCGAGTACTATATATATTCCGATAAATTTCTTACAATCTACTTATTTTATGATCTCGTTGGAAATTATATAAAGACAATTTATATTTAATATAGTTATTTGCCCAAGTTTTTTACGATTAAGAAGCACTCGTCTCTTGTACAGATCGTGCATTAATCTACTATAACTATAGGATACCCTCTTTTCGCGAAACCTGTAAAACATCATCTTAAGTGGATATCGATAACTATGTGATCAAATCAGTTTTGTATAAAAAAAAATGGACGGTGAAAAAATAAACGGTTGACAGAAATTTGATCCAATAAGATAGTTATTGATATCCGATCAATGTGATTTTTTACAAGCATATAATGCTCGACAAGTTTTATACATTGAACGGTTCGAATTATCGAAACGGGATCCGTGGTAAGCCCTCACGGGCCAATAGTACCCTCCAGTCCGATTATGGACGGAAGGAAAGCCCAACTCATGAATTATAATATAATTTTGAAATTATTAGTTTATATGACTCTGTTCTATTGTTTGATTACTCCCTCTGTCCCAAAATATTAGTCCCTTATTCCATTTTTCATTGTCCTAAAATATTTGTCCCTTTTTAAAAATGAAGTACAAAAGTGACATGAATTTCCTAATTTGCCCTTCTTTTAAATTCATACTGCTCCTTCCGTCCCAAAATATTGGTCCCTTTTGGGGAATCCAACTTTTTTTCATGGTACAATTATTACATTTCAGAATTTTTAAATTTCCAAAAATACCCTTTGATTTAAAATTAAAGTAAAAAAAAAAGTACTCCTACTAATAGTAAGAAAATCTGTCCAAAAATCTTGGCGGGAATTTATTGTGAATCAAACCGAATTTATTGTGAATCAAAATTTAAGCGGGTAGGTATCTAAATAAAATTTGAACATTTCCTTTTCAATTTAAAATTCCATGTTACTACTCCAGAATCTACTCCATTCTTGAAACACAAAGTCAAACTCTTCTGTTTTGCTCCATTACCAAATTTGCTCATTTTCTTTCCTATATCTCATCAACTATTCCAGCTTATTGTCTAATGTTTTCATCTTTAAATATTTATCCATTTTAATCCATCATGGATTCTATAATTGAGACTTCCTCTACTGCTAGTTCCCCTGTTTTTCTTTCTTCTGTTCATTATAGAACAAAGAAAAATCTAACAAATCATCTACACCAATCAATTTTTGAAACTCTGCTAATACGAAGTAAGGATGGAAAATTGAAAAGGGGTTGTCAAACTGAGGTTGCTACGAAGTTCTCTGTCCATGTAAAAACTGTTCGTCGTATTTGGCAGAGAGGAATAGCTTGTATGGAAAATGGGTTAGTGGTCAATGTATCTAGCAAATTAACAAATTCTGGCCGCAAGCGAGTTCAACTCAACTTTGGGAAAGTCGCTGAAATTCCTCTTCGTCGTCGAACCACTATTCGCTCATTGTCAAAGGCATTGAATCTTCCAAAATCAACAGTTCATAGGAGAATTAAAGAAGGCAAAATTAGGCCGCATTCAAATGCTTTGAAGCCGTATCTATCTGAAGAGAATAAGAGAGCGAGACTCTGATTTTGTCTTTCAATGCTTGAGCGTAATAGTCTTCAAGGCCAGCCAATGTTCAACTCCATGTATGACTACGTGCACATTGATGAGAAGTGGTTTTACATCTCCAAAGAAGCAGAGAGGTATTACCTTCTTCCTGAAGAAGAAGAGCCACATCGTTGTTGTAAAAGTAAACGTTTCATTACAAAGGTAATGTTCCTTGCAGCAGTCGCTCGGCCACGGTTTGATGAAAATAAAAATGAAGAATTTTCAGGTAAAATTGGAATTTGGCCATTCACATACAAGGAACCAGCTAAAAAGAACAGTAAGAATCGTGCAGCTGGTACACTTGAAACAAAGGCAATTGTATCGGTAACAAAAGATGTTATTCGTGCATGTTTGATTGAGAAGGTTCTACCTGCAATTCGATCTAAATGGCCATGTTCCAGTGCAATGAACATTATATTCATTCAACAAAATAATGCAAGACCACATGTTGATCCATTTGATGTTGAATTTCTTGCAGCTGCAAGTAGAGAGGGTTTTGATATTCGTTTATCGTACCAACCCCCAAACAGCCCAGATATGAATGTTTTGGACCTCGGATATTTTAGAGCGATTCAATGTTTGCAATATCAAGAAGCACCCACAAATATTTGATGAATTGGTTTATGCCGTAGAAAAATCGTTCGAAGAATTATCACTGCAAACTCTTGATCATGTATTTGTAACCTTGCAAGCATGTATGTTAGAGGTGATGAAAATCAATGGTGGGAACAATTACAAATTGCCACATATGGCAAAGACAAAACTGATGAGAGATGGTACTTTGCCTTGCCAAATTCAAAGTGAACCTCATGTTGTTGAAAATGCTTTGGCCTATCTCCATTCAAGTCCAGGTAAGTTTTTGGGTCTCTCTCTCTGTTTTTTGTTTGTCTATATGTAGCATGAAATATTAAGTTTTCTTTCATTATCTTCTTCTTCTGCTTCTTTCTTTTTTCTTTTTTCTTTTTTTCTTCAGGGGTCTAACTCTACAAGGCTTCAGAATTTTTTGGGTGAATTCCTTAGTTAAGAACTCTGTTGATAGAGAACAATTTTTGTTGGTGAATTTTGTCACTTAACTAAATACTTCTTTGATGGTGTTGCTGTTGAGGAAATCATTTGTGCGTTTGCAATGCTAAATGTAAATGGCAGTGGTGGTGAGAATTGAAACTCCAGTATCAGCACTTTTTTTTGGTTGTTTTTGCTCCCTTTTGATGTATATATTCCTTTTGAAATGTAATGAAATACTACTGTAAATTCGTTAGTGCAGTAAATTCATTTTATTTTATTTTTTTGAAAATATCAATTGTCATAATTATGTATTTTTTGTGTATATTAGTAGTATGAATTTAAAAGAAGTGCAAAATAGGAAATTCATGTCACTTTTGTACTTGATTTTTAAAAAGGGACAAATATTTTAGGACAATGAAAAATGGAATAAGGGACTAATATTTTGGGACGGAGGGAGTACAAATCACTGACTTGTTGTGGAGCATTGTCGACATATTGAAAGTCATAATTTATGTTTTGTGAGTCTATCAATTTGAACGAGGGTTGTGATTGTGTCTCTCTTTCAAGGCATGCTTTCAAAAAATTCTCCACATAATCTTGCTGCAAAAAAGATTTTTTTTGAATAACAAGGAAATTTACACACGAGGACACAAAGACAAATTAATGGGAGTCTACGAAAATTATCATCACATAAACATTATCTTGGATCAAAGAAATTTGCACTTGTTACCCATTATTTTGCATCTTTGAGATATTTGTCGTGTGCATCATCCCTCCTTGTCCTTAGCAAGTTATAGTACTTCCATAAATTGTCTTTTTTGTCCAAGACAAGCAAGCTCCAATGATTTCCATCAGCTGACTTCTCATTGCCACCGCTATTTATTGGGAAATAAAGGAACATGTTGTTCCTCCGTGCGGTTTCAAGATGCTTGTCAAACAATGAGATTTGAAAAGTTTGGTTTTTGTCATCTTGATGAAGTTTTGTGGTCAGAGAAAATCAAACAATGGTCAGAGAAAGTTGAAATGACAGGAATTTCATATTAATTTTATTAATCAAATAAGGTCTTAGTGTTTTGTCTAAACCATGAATTAAATTTACCTTTTCGCCATTGCATTGCAATCTCATCGATGGATTATACAAAAAGTAATTAAAAAAAAAATTGTTAATGTGTACACATAGTGGTGATCTGGGAATCCAAGTTAAAAGTTGCATTCTGCAGCTTCAAGAAAAAGGCCCCGTTTGGTGTAGCTGTTAAAACAGCTTATAGATTATAGCTTAACAGATTATAGATTATGACTTTAATCAAAAGTTGTTAATCTGTTTGGTGTAACTGTTGGATTATAGATTTAAGTTACTAAGTAGTGTTTGTTAAATAAGCTGTGAAATAGCTTTCAATTAATTTTTATTTTTTGTTTGTCTAAATTTCTCATAAAAAAATAATAATAATCTATAGTCCATTTGAGTCTTTTTCTATTTTTAAAAAAAGTAAAAAATAAAAAAATTTAAGAGTATAACTATAAATTAACATGTCCACAGCAGAAGTTGATAATCAGAAGCAAGGGGTGAGCAGCTTCTCAGAATCAATTTTTTTGAGTTAAAATAAGCTATTAGAATCAGAACCTGTTTGAAATAAGTTTAACCAAACAGTTCAAAATAACTTTTTTAAAGCTAAAAGTCATAAGTTGGCTCTAAAAAGCTGAAACAAATACCCCCAAAGGCAACAGCAGCTAAAAACGCAACAGAATCATTTGGGAAGAATCAAAACACAGGCTGTGAAATTACATCAACTATCCTCTCAAATGGGTGAAAATGTAATTTTTTTTAATTGAGTGGAGGTGTTTTGATCATTTTATTATGATGTGACATCATAAATAAATATTAATAAAAAAATAATTTTTTATTAACTTCCAAAATCACTTTTCCAAAAAACTAAAAAGTTTGGTTAAAAATCAAAAATTAACTTTTAACCATTTTTTAAAAACACTCCATAATATGAAATATAAAAATATTATATATCTCGCATGAAAATAGATGAAATTAAGAATGTGTAATTATTTAAAATTTTTACTGGATATGAATTAAAAAGATACATTAATCAAATTCGAAGCTGCTTACGAAATGCTTGTGCAATAATATCATCAATCATGATAAGTGTCAACCAAATCTCCAAAACTAAGGTCCATCAGTATTGCTTTCAAATTCAATGTCGTCCGGTGGGATGTGGGATGTACTCCAATGGGTCCTAAATACTTTAGTCAAAAGAGGGCAGGTGAGTTTAGGGGTGAACATAGTTCGGATTGAATCGGATTGGAGTAAAAGTAGAACTAATTCATTATCTATAGATCCTGAAAAATTAGAACCAATTCATTCCGTTTAAATCGTGGAACCAATCTGAATCAATCCGTTTAAATACGGATTGGATCGGTTTAGGACCACAGATTTACACAATTAAATAACAAAAATAAATATATATAACACTTTAATTTCATAAAAATATAAATATAGCACCATATTAGTTTCACAATAGTAACATGTCTTTTCATAATAGCGACAAACTGTTCTAGAATTTAAACAACCATAAGAAAACTAGTTCCACCATAAGTATTTAGACCATTATAAATTAACACTAAAAAGTAGCAAATAAAAGTAATAAAAGAAGATACTATGCAAGTTTAGGTTTGGATTTAAGTTTTGTATGAAATAAGAGAAGAAACTATGCAGGAGGGTGTATAATAAAAATATAGACTATTTGTATACAGTTCGGATCGGTTCCAATCCGGAACCATAGGGTTCAATCCGGAACCAATCCGTAAATTACAGATTTTTAATTTTTCAATCCAGAACCGAACTACGGATTCAAAAAATCAATCGAAACCTACTGGATTGGATTGGACTAGATCGGATCACGGATTTCACGGATTCCTTGCTCAGCCCTAGGTAAGTTTACCGACCCATCCAATCCGAATAAAATACTTACATACTCCCAAAAAATTAAAATTAAAATTAAAATATCCTAAAGAAGGGGGATCATTGAGGATGGTTGGTGGTCTCGTTTGGTAGAGCTGTGAGAAAGTTATTATACGTTATAACTTAACAGTTTATAGTTTATAACTGTGAACATAAACTGATTTTTGACTTATAAATTAAATTTTTCCTCCCCCACTCAAAGAATAAGTTGATTTTTGACTTACCAAAAGTTATAAGTTGTATTGTTAAGCTGAACCAAACACACCAAAATAGCTTAAATTAAACTAAAAGTTGAAATAAGCTGAAAATAAGGCCTACCAAACATGGCCAATGTTTTGTCAATATTTACTTACTGAGTATAAGCAAATAATTACAAGAAAAAGTTTAAATGTACCCAATATATTTACAGAGCTAGGCTCAACCTTCTGTGTGAATTTTGTACATGTGTAAATTTCATCATATATGAGAGGATTATATCCAATTATATATGTGGGAGTCAAGTAAATTTAATTTATAATTGGCAAATAAGGCATATTTAAGCTCATCTTTGATTGGGTCCGATTTTATCAAAATCCATTGGGTTCAAACAAATCATTGCTGAATAAATGTAGATGGGTTGAAGAGCGTGTCAAGTTTAGAGGACATAAGTCATGCGTCTAAGCCGAGTACATCAAGTAAGTTGGCATGGCCTCATTGGGTGAGCCCATGCTATCCTTTACTAAAATGTATAATAGAGAAATGGGTCTTAACATGGTAATGTTGAAAAACTAAGTTACAGGAAAAAATATCAAAGATCTTTCAGCGAATGTACCAGAGTTGTAAATAAATTGAGTTGCTCAAGTTTTATTTAAAAAAATTAAATAGCTTTAAAATTAAATGTTTTAAATAATTGGTTGCTTACATTTTAAATTGATCTCAAATAAATTTTAATTAAATTGATTATTATTGTTGTAATGCAATAAGATAATCGAGTTGACTTTGAATCTTTTTTAAAAAATTGACCAACTTTAAAATATGTTCAAATTCGCCATATTTATATATAATAATTTTTAATGAGGGAAATACAAATAATTTGATTCATGAGATGTGAATACAATTCAAGTTTATTATTTATAGAATAATCATATTCAAACTTCATTTAAAAGTTTTTCGTACTCTTTTTTAGACTTTTAACCTCCCATAAGGTGAGACTTCTTGTTGACATGTTGACAATTTTAGTTCACTTATTATTATTATTATTATTATTATTATTATTATTATTATTTTCCTGGCGGTTTGGCGTTTCAAAAGCGTCGCTAAAAAGATATGACGGCGTTTTTTAAAACGTCGCAAAAAGTTTAACAGCCACTTACTTTTCCGTTAATGATGTAATGGTGACATCATTCAGCGACGTTTTTTAAAAAAACGCCATCTATTTTTATTTTTAATCCTTGCCACTGATGCGATGTCATGATGACATCATTTAATGAGATTTTTTTTCAAAAAGAAGTCTTTTTTATTTTTTTAATTTTTTAAGAACACAGCCCAATTAATTGAGAATTTCACTAGGAATAGAAATTGAAAATTAACCGAGAATTTATATAAATTTAACTAGGAACAGAGATTGAGAATTAACTAATAATTAATATAAAAGAACATA